TTTATATTAATGTATGCTTGCCTGAAACGATATATATATATATATATATATTGATTTGGGTATTTAATCGAAAGTGTGATGACTGGGATGGTGTAGCTTTTAGTGTGGTTTCGGTTTCCCTTCGTTACATAGATCTAGTTTGATCTCGTTTTCACAAAATTGTCGTATTCCCAGGGGCACCTGGAGGAGTGCAGCTTGTCCAGAGTCCTTGGTATCTATGATAATTTCCAGCGTCGAAAGGTACCAAGTCCACGGTCCGAGGATGGAAATCGTCATGGCTTCTATGGTCTCCGGACAAACTGCAATCTTTTAGATCGCTTGGCAATACGACTAAGTAGTGAAAACGAGGTCAAACCTCTACCGTTCCTTAAATTCGTCTTTGACTGGGATGGTGTAGCTTTTAGTGTGATTTCGGTCTCCCTTCGTAACATTGATCTAGTTTTACCTATTTTTCACAAAATTGTCTTATTGCCAGGGGCACCTGGAGGAGCGCAGCTTGTCCAGAGTCCATGTTATCCATGATAGTTTCCAGCGTCGAAAGGTACCAAGTCCACGGTCCGAGGATGGAAATTGTCATGGCTTCTATGGTCTCCGGACAAGTTGCACTCTTCTAGGTCGCCCTGGCAATACGACCAAGTTGTGAAAACGAGGTCAAACCACTACCGTCCCTTAAATTCGTCTCAATTTCCCCCCTTCTCTCTCTCTTTCTCTCTCTCTCTGTCTGTAATACTTTTTTACTTTTATTCCCTTTCTCATTTATTTTTTCATATTTTAAATCACTTAGCAGTCTACCAATTAGCCGTAACCTTGTCTATCCTCTACTCACCTGCTTCTGCCGCCTGGTCAACTCTTCCACCGTACGTCTGGCCAGCTCAGCCGGCCGATCGCAACCAAAAACGGCTTTTCCGTGCACCAATGTCCGCCTTGGCAACGGAATTGGCGGTGATGGTGGTGACGACAATTCGCCTTTGTCGGTGGCAGCCCCACCAGCAGCCGCCTTCTCTCGAGGTCGTATGCCATGCAGGATTGCATCAGCTGAAGGAGTCGATTTTGATGATAGTGAAGAGGAACTCGTCGATGCTACTGACGGTGCAGCATACTGTGAAGCTTTGGTTGCTGAAACCACGGAAGTCGGTTGCAAGAAGGCTATAAGCTGTTGACGCTGATGACCCAGAAGGGAGGCCGACAAAGGTGTCGTTACGAGGGACGATTCAGCAACCTTTGACGTGGTATGGTTGATAGGCCTGTCTGTCTCTTTTGATGCTGTCTGCTGAATTTGATTCCCAACAGAAGTGCATACATGCGAAGTCGGGGGTGAATCTACCAAATCATCAGACGCGACATGTCGCGAGCTAATGCTGCGCTTGGTACCATTGTTAAAAGCGAAGAAGGAGGAGATGTTTTCAGCGGTGATGGGTCCTTTTGAATAGCAATTCGGGCCAACAGATCCGCCACTCAAGGAGAGAACGTGTTTGACTTGAGCCTCAGCAATTGAAGGGCTGTCAATTGATGAAGCCATCGTAGTCGAGGGCAAGGAAAGAGAGGCATCCTCTGCGTGACGGGCTTGTGATCCGGGACTCAATTGGCCAGAGATCTGGCGCAGGAAGAGGTCAGGAGTAGCAGAACCGACGGAAGTGACAGTGGCGGTAGCTGCGGCTGCGCAAGCCTGAGCCCTACGACGGGGCGGCAGCTGCGGAGGCAAGAAAACGGTACTTACAGCTCCAGGGCTGTTGGAGTTATAATTGGGCGGATCGACTAAAAGAGGCTTTCTCCACGAGGCGGCACGCGAGATTATGTGATGATTAAGTAAGCCGGAAGTTGTGTGGTCGCTGTCGAATGGAATAAAGTTGAAAGCATGTTTTGAAAGTAGTGACAGTCAATTTTATATGCTTCTATGAAATATGTGGTTTTCACGATAGGCAATTAATTAAATTAACACAGTATCAGGCGTAATGTGTGTAATGGGGGCTTGTGGTGAGAACTGGTACCATGGCAGACTGGGTCATTCAGAATAACGACTCTATTCAGAGCTGCACATAACACTCATACATGGCAATTAAGTGGATTAACTGAAAAAATTGTCCGATTTTGCCATGATCAGTATGGAATTTAATGATAAATGTAGCTCGGAAATCGCTTGAATTCAAACAGCGCGCAAAGTGAGATACGAACTCAGCTCGTTGTTGCTCAGCTGCATGCAATTATGCAGTCAATGAGGCATAACGCGAATTGGGATTGAATACAATTCAATTTATAATCATCTATTCGATCAATACATGGACGTATAATAGAACATGGTATAATGTAATGTACCATGGACTTATAATGGTCATGGACGCTAAAATACCAAGAAAAAATAAAAACTATTTCTCTAAGAAAGCAAATGAACTTCGATTGCTGAAAAGTAGAGTCGTAATTAGTTTCGCCCCTTTGCTCAGAGTTAGGTTCAAAAGTACATCAAGGAAAAATAGTGACATGGAAGCTAGCAAATAAAATTTCAGCAGCAATTTTGTAAGATGGAATCCCTCGAAATTTCAGAGGTGCTAAAATGTGAACCTAAAAAAGCCGTTGAACTCCCTTCCATTTTGAGTGAAAGTGCTTGATAAGGAAATTCCGAGGTCCATCTAACCAGAAGACGACGGCGGATTTCTCTTGACCAGCTGTCGAGTGGTTTTACCGGAACATTCTTGATGACGTTGCTTCGGAGGCAATCTTCTTCGAGTCCGACAAACAGCTGCTAGGCTTATGACGGGCATCATTAGAGCAGAATATCATTCTTAAAATTATATTCAAACTGACAATACGAAAAGCAATAGAGTTTATATAAATCCCCAGCGAAAACGTTGTTAGAGCGACCTTAATTTCGTATGAAAAAACAGGAAGAAGATATTCTTAAGTTGATATCACCGTTGTACTGCCGCCGTTCGGCTTTAACACAATGTGCAGGTTGACGCAGTCCACGAGAATCCTCCCTCGCTTCGAGTGAAGACGAGCCAACAGTCGTTTTTAACTTGTTTTCATCTTTTGATGATTAGAGAAGAGGATAGGTTAGGAAGAGATGTTTATAGGAAGCCAACGTATATATGCTCTTTTGTGAATTGTCTTTCTAGCTATAGACACAAAACTCAAGTTGGCATTTTGAAGCCAATGCTTATTAGGAGTATGAGACTTGTAGATAGCAACCATTTGGCTAGAGTTGGAACAGTTGGAAAATGTATTCCTTGGACATAATTATCATTTAGGTATAATTGATAATAATAGCTTATTAATGAAAAATAAATTTTCACTAGATGGCTATTTGGTCAAAGATAGACAAGCGGAAGCATCTTCACACATCCTGATTGTGCCGTCATGACTTCTTTCTGAGGGGTTAGGCGAACTAGTGGGAAAGTGGTGGATAAAAACGGTGTTCAAAGAAACCCTAAAGATTTCTTCGGTTATGCTTTCTTTTGGAGAGAAATATGACCCATTATCGAGATCTGGTTGCGACGAGATTGTGTGCTCCTGCAGACGACCTTATGTTGGTGATACATGTCGGCCTTTTCTATAACGAATGAGGGAACACAAAATGGATTTTAATCAAACGGTAGGAAGTAGTCGGACAGGCCAGGGATTGGTCATGAGAAAGAATGGCTGCAAATGAGCATGGTACGTCTCTCGTCGAAAGGAAGATGAACGAGGCTATTAAAATCAATAGATCAGGGAATACGATGTGTGTGATGAACGTTAGTAGAAAGTTGAGTAAGAACTATTTGTGCTCAATTGATAGATTGAAGGAGAGAGAGGGGGTTGAGCCGCCATCCAAAAGAAGACAACTCAACGGATACGCTCAGTGATGCTTCTAACTTCACTCACACTCGTACATGTTAGATTAGGCTCATCAACCAAACCAGACGTAAGAGATTACGCAGCCCCAACTATGTATTTCGTTGGGTCGTAATAATTTTAATGTTCCTATTTTTAGGAAGTGGGTTGACTTCGTCGCAACTTGATCTTGTTGTCAGGGTGACTTAATAGAACGTCCCTAGTCCGAAGTCATCTGCCATAGCAGTTGTCATGATTCCCAGCATCAGACAGTGTAGTTGGTACATTCTCAAACGTTTCGCCGGCATCATAGTCGGCATCATCAGTGAATTGTGCCATTCTCCACACCAAGTTACGAACTCATCAAAGAGACAAGTGAAGTCAATTCCTCGACAAACGCTCTGCCGAAAACGGTTACGCTATCACTCCTCTTTCTGTCTGGCCTATTTATACACTCTTTATGCTCTTATCCCACTGCTGCCCTATCACAACTTCTGACTTGTTTACATTCCACTCGTCAAAATGTGTGCCCTTTTGTGGCAAAT